TCTCTAGATCCTCCAGTTCAGCTTCGTGGTATACTGGGCTCAGAAGTCAGAAAATTTAATGGCATTCGAATGTATCTGCAGTTTCAAGTAGCCACAATCCAGCCAGTGTATACTGGACTTGTAGAGAACAAAATAAGTTCAGGGTGTTACTGAAAAAGGCAAGAAGGTCTTGGCGTGACCAGTCTGGTGAATTGCTTATCAGAGAAACTGACATAAACTGAGAGTACAGAAAAAGGAGTATTTTTAAAAGATGTTAGCTGTTGTGTAGCATAGGCAAGTTTTACTTAGAAAGACTCATTGCTACAATGCCCATTTGTATGCCTTGTAAAATTCTGAAATTTGATTTTAATTCTTATAGTCATTTTGCTTATTTTGTATACATTTTATACAGAACTGCATTTGTTTTAGATGGATTTTCTATGGGAAGTTTAATTGTATTTGAATAATAATGTTTTGTTTTCAAACTGGAAATAATGTAAATACATGCCATACCTAAAAACTTAGAGATATGTAAAATAACAACTACTGAATATAGGCATGCTAAGGTTGCTAACTCCAACATCATGCAAGAGAGGTTTTGCTTCTGCTTTTACCAAAGCCTCGGCCCCCAAATACAAGCAGAGCATACATAAACAGCCCCAAGCCAAGCCGATAAGTCTACCGAGATGCCAAACAATTACAGGAATACACAAGAGAGAAATCCAAATGTTTGTTCCAGAGTCAAGCCAATTACCAGAAATGTCCAAGATACAAGGCTGAGTCAAAGCCGATGTCCAAGGGTAGTCCAGGTTTCAGGGAATATGAGAGATCAAGAGTCTGGATCTTGGCTCAAGCACTGACATTGCAGACAGCACCCAGATAACAATCTTCAGTCTCTTAAATCCTAAATTCACAGTGGTTACCTGTTGCTGGCTCTCTTCTCAGCTAGACCATTCTTTTTTTAAATCCACAAATGCACGAACAGTTAACTCCTCTTCAGTCTGCTCACAAGAAGTTTTTTCCATTTGGTCAGCAGGCTCAGAAGTAGCTTCTTCCATAGATGTTACTTCAGGACAGCTGCTCTTCATTGCTGGGCTCCAGCTCTAATGCTGAGCTTCTAACAGCATTCCCTCATCCATGCTTTCCACACTGTCCATGATAGCTTTATTTGTCTTTTAAAAATCCTTCATCATTGTCACCATCTAACCTTTTGTTAAAAAATTGTGCCTTTCTCACCAGAAAAGGCTAACAAAAGTGAAGTTTGTATTTCTAAGGAAGTGCTCTGAAGCTTCACTGTTTTTTCTCACCCTAGCCCTAGCTCACAATGACAAAGTTCATGTCTGAAATAGAGGTATATTGAATGATAAGTTTAAAACATAAGTAGGGCAAATATGGACTTAATGACCAGCACTTTGTTGTGATCTATACTGACATGGTCTCCTTGTGTAGCATCCCGTCAGCAATGTATCAGATCTTTCCAACTCAACCCCCAGTCAATTTGTGGCTGGGAGCATGTGGGTGCCCCCTGACAGCGTCAGGCTATGGTATCCTAGCTGGAAGGCTAGAACAGACATCTTCCTCCAAAATCTTCACCATATGCAGTAAAAACCCCAGCATATTCACGACAGTGTCAGAGCAATGCTGTCTCTCCTTCGCTGCTGGCTAAAGACAAAAGATTTTTCTAGTCCAGCCTCATGGTCTCACATTTTGATGGCCCAATGAGAAGCCCGTAAGCAGAATGTGAGAACGATGGCATTGTCAGCTTGTGCCCCCAGCTGTAGGAATGATTATATAATGTTGTAAGTATTGTAGTGCACCATCAAAGAATTGTAGGAGACAGATGTTTGTTATTGGATGGAAAGATTTAATTGTTTTTGACATATCTGTTCAGATAAATTATGTCTTTGAGGACCTTTGTGTTCCTGTTTATCCCATGGCTGTTCCTTTTCTGTTGTTGTTAACATAAATCATTGAACTTTTAAATATATATTTCTTCTGTGCCTTTGATACATTGACTATAATAAGCCAACAACAATCATGAATATAAGTACATATGGTACAGATGGAAATATTATCACGTATGTTTGATTTTTGGATGTGGTGGCATATTACCATAGTAAGACATTATGTTGTATGAGTAAACAGGCATGGCTAGTTCAAATGGCTGACTAAAAGCTGTGTCATCCACAGTGCTTGTAACTCTATTGTTGCTTTAAGGGAAGATTTAGCAATTTAGCTGGAGTATTGTGATGACTGGCAGCAAAACATGGCAGAAAAACACCAAATATATCCTATCCTGCATTACCAGATGTGGCTTGGAACAATTAAACATATCCAAGCAGAGATTGCTGGAAAAGGTTTCATGTCAATGAGACAAACCTCAATAGGTGCAAAGCCAGACTCAAAAACCACACATTCAGGTGAACACCCTCTTTCTCCCCTTCAGTCTGCATTCTTCAGCCATTGCTTCAGAGAGAGAAATGACTATGTGCATGAGCATCATGGTGCCTTATGTATGGGAAAGTACATTTGGTTTATAGGAAATGTGGCAGCACCACGTGTCAGTAGTCCAAGGGCAAGCCTAGCTAAATGCAGAGACTCAGCACCAGAAATCTGCCCCCCAACAGAGAAACTGGTCACAGCAATTGCTAACACAGAGATGGTATGGAATAGCTGTGATTTGCAATCTGGAGTGAGGGACTATTCACACCAATTAAATCAAAGGTGTTCTGAATATTAAAAGTATAATTTTATTTTTTGTCTGATACTGAAGTTATCCACAATGTCTAAAACTTTAGAAATTTGAATATTCATATGCCCTCACAGGGGTTGGGCCTATGAATATAAATGTATACAAGGCATCAGTGGAACTGCCTAGTATCCTTTCTGTAAGCAGAGAAACCTGCTCTGAAGAAGGGCAAAGGCAAAGCAGGACCCCCCCCCCCACTGCGCCTGGATTGGATTGTGTGCAGGCTATAGGATAAATAGATGATGGGTGAAAGAAACAACACATCCATTATGTTATTCTCTTCAGAAAGCATTGAAAAAGAAATGGAAGAAGAAACAAGATGTAAGACTGTAGAGTCTACTTGAAATACTGTGCGTGTGTTAACAATGGGATAGTCTTGTGTAGTCCAGAAACCTAATAGTGACAGCTAGGGATGTAGTTATTTTCTTCCTGAAGAGAGCACCATATAATTTTAGCCATTTTCTTGCCACTGCAATTGAAAACCAAGTTTACAATTCAAGACAACATTAAAAGTCAGGATTTATTCTGTGCAAAATTTGTATACGGTACTGTGAGCAGAAAACAACTCTATCTGCATAGGAAACAGTATTTTCTGTGCAGAAACATTCTTTTCTGCACAGAAAAAGCTGTTTCCTGCAAGGAAAACACTGTTTTCTGTGCAGATAAATCTCACGTAAATGCTGCAGTCCCTAATTACAGCACCTTCTTCACAGGAAATATTGTCTTCTGTGCAGAAAAAATATATACTTGCCGATAAATATTATTTTGTACACAGAAAAAGCTGTTTCCTATGCAGAAGTCTATTTTATTCACATGGCCAAAAAGGGGAGTAGTTTCCCCCTTGCATCCCTCAATACCATTTAAATGGACACCAGGGTAACATCTGAAACAAAATGTAAGTCTGTGACTCTCACATCACCAGCTTTCTTCTCCTGTATAACCTTTCTGTCTAATAAAGCAGTGAAACTTTGAAAACTTGCATGATCTATTTTATGCTTTGCAGTTGGTTCAATAAAATGATCATTGTTTTATGGACTTCAGATTATTGTTTTTACCTTCTTTCATTATTGTATATTATATGTTACTACACTTCAAGAGAGTATTGCAATGCCTGTTGTTTTTACTTCAGCTGCTTTTTAATTCATTGCCATTTTTTATTTTTTAGACAGTTTTGTTTTTTTAGTATATATCATCCAGGCAACTACTAGCTACAAAATATAAAATATATCTTAGAAATAATATAATCAGTCATTGCTACTGTTACTATTTTTATTGGTTTTCTTTACAATAGAGAACTGGTATATCAATGATATTGGGAAAAATGCAAGATAATATTACATGTCAATGTTGTGGAAAAATGTCAGACTAGGAATCTTGTGTTTTCCTTTTGCTGCTGTAATGAATTACATAGCAAAAGAGTTCAGCACCGTCACGAATGTATTGAGGAGGGAGACGGGGTGGGGCAACAAAGGTTAATTCTCTAGTGAATGAAGTCAGTAGCTCTTGCTCATATTTTGATGCTCTCGTCCACTCAAAGTAAGCCAAGAAACACACCAGGCAGTCAGGTTTTGTGCCAAGGACAATTAAGCTTCTTCCGCGTCATTGCAGAAACTCCTTCACATTGAGTTTGATCCATGGCCTACTGGGAGTTAGCAAAGCAGATTCCAATGAACTTGAGTGGCCTGTAAATCGGACCCCTCTAACAATGTAGCACATTGTAAAGACAGATAGATTCCATCTGTTAATGAAATGTTTTTGAACCAATTCAATCTTGAGGGAAGAGAAGGCAACAATCATTCATCTGGCTTGCAGTAGTACCATCTCTCATTCAATGCAGGCTTCTTATGGATGCATAATTAGTCTCTCAACTGTGAAGAGCTCTATTTTTTGAGTTAGCAGTTCTTACCATTCTGCAGGCCACCCACACCTCTTCTAAACCACCAAAAATTTAATATATTGGAAATGCCATATGCTTTATGTTTACAGTTCTCATGTAGCAACTGAAATGGATGTCTTATGAGAGCAGGGAGACTAGTTAAAATATTCAAGCAAGAAATATCTGGTAGATAACCAATCTGTAATGTATGAGTTGAGTAGATGTTTATGAACCAGTCTTGTGTTATGTAGCAAACCATATTTCAGAGCTTGCAAGCATCTATAAAGATCCAGCATCTTTATCCAGAGAAGCAACATCTTGGATTTACCTTGTGACTCTATGGGGAAGAAAACATAACTCAAAAATTTTGTGTTTAAGAATCATGCACTAGCCATGAAATGGGCACTATATTTATTTCATTATACAATTCAGTGTGGTATAATGGTTAGATTCCAACTTGCTACACTCCGTAGGTCACACATAAAAACTACCATCATCGCAAACTAGCATGGTCCATGGTGATATTGGAAGATGTAGTCTAACACATCAAGAGAACATAAGGCTGTAGAAGGCTGGACAACCCTAAGGTGAATCTATCATGGGCTTTTCTTGCCAAGATCTGTTAAGAGGGGATTTGCCTTCTGAAGCTGAGATAGTGTGACTTGTCCAGTGGGTTTTCATGGCCGAGAGAATTGAATCCTGGTCTCCAGACCATAGCCCAGTGCTCAGACCATTAGACCAGTGGTTCTCAACCTGTGGGTCCCCAGGTGTTTTGGCCTACAACTCCCAGAAATCCCAGCCAGTTTACCAGCTGTTAGGATTTTTGGGAGTTGAAGGCCAAAACATCTGGGAACCCACAGATTGAGAACCATTGCATTAGACCATAATGACTCCCTGAAATAAGAAGATTGGGTGAAAATTTCTTTTCTGCTTTCAGAAGCTTTTGGGGAGGGAGGAATAGTGAACACACACCCCATAGCTATACAATGCTGGAAAGCCATGTGAGGGAGCCCCAGAGTGGGTGAAATATTCTGAAATCTAAAAAGAAGAGTGGAGAAAAAAGCATTTCTATTTATCATATTAGCAATGTTTATTTAAAACATGTGTGCTTCAATAAAATAGAAAAATCTGCAGCTGTGTTATAACTCACGAGGGGAGAAAACACCACCACAACAATGAAAATATAGCAACAAAGGAAACCAAGTAGATTAAAATAACAGAAAGCAGAGATTAAAAAACAAACCAGAAAGTTTGGGACAAAATGGGGTGAGGGAGAACAAAAGTTAGAGACAGCATGCAGGTTAAAAAGTCTAGGCCAAATAACAAGATCCTTTAGCCACGTTTTGCATTTTCTCTGTGTTAAAATTGAATCAGGACTAAAACCAGACCAATACATCTGCAGTTGAGACTTCCTGTTTTGTGTTGCAACTCGCCATGGTCCTCTCATCCCTCATAAATCTGACATCTCATGACTGCAGAGAAAAGAAAGAGCCTCTAAAAGTAAAAGATCACCCACACTGCAGAATTGTGGCAGTTTGATACCACTTTAATTTTCATAGTTCCATCCTATGGAATTCTAAGGACCCTTCCAGACAGGTGAAAAATGCAAGAGAAATTGGGATTTTAAATCCCACTTCCTCTTGGGATGGAGGCCACACGGCCTAAACTCTGGGATTTTGTGTGGGGGGAGTGGTGTTCAGATATTCCCCTCTGCTGATCCAAGATCAGCAGGGGTGGGTATTAGCACTCCCAGCTTCCCCCTCCACCAACCCCCCTCCACATTTCCCCCTGCACTTAGCGGGAGAAGACTGTACAAGGCCTGAAGACTCCCTGCCTGCTTCTCCCCTACCTTGAAAGCACTAAAGAGGGTTTTGGGTAGGGTAGGGGGGATTTCTCCCCCAAGTCTCCCTGTTGGATCTTCCAGGGAGGAGGAACAGAGGCAACGGCTGCCGGCCTGCATGGAAGGCTTTGTCCTGTAAGTTGAGGGAGAAATGGGGGAGGGAGTCCAGACAGGAGAGATACATAGGCATGGGAAAATGTGTGTTTCTCAGGAAGAATCGGGTTTAAAGGGCAACTTTTAAACATGTGTTTTGTAGTCTTTAACCAGATTCCTCCTGTGTTTTAGCCAAATACATGTTTAGCCACCACCCCTTAACCCGGTTTAATACATGTGTGGAAGGACCCTGAGATTTGTAGTTTGTTATAGCACCAGAACACCCTGACAGATAAATTCCAGAATTCCATAATATTGAGCCATGTGGTTTCAAACTGCTATCATTCTTCAGTGTGGATACAGCCTAAGTAAAATAATTGTGCTTTTGGGATATTCCCAAGTCACTTAAGTATTCATTTGCATTTTGCGTTATGCCCAGAACATCTTTAGGAAATGGTGAGGTATGTTCCATATAGCAGGGCAATTCCAAAAATCACCTTCAGATGATTATTTCTAAACATCCCAGGTCTTGTACCTGTGCTTTCCAATTTTATTTTAGAGATCCACATGATGTTCACTTTAACCCAAAATATTTCTTGGGAGTTCTTGGCATTACCAAGGATTTTTCACTCCCATTCCCCAGAATTGCTCAACATTTTCTGATATGAAATATATCTGTACTTGCCTAGTGTGTTTCTGCAGTCTCAGAAACAGATGAAATGGCTGTCACTAGTAAAAACAGCTATTGTTTCCAGGACAGAAATTCAACAGACATCATATGAGGAAAAGAGGAATGTATGAGGAACATAGGAATGTGCGGAAAAGAGGAATGTATGCACCCAAATAAAAAAGTTCTAAATCTTAACCAGAGCAATATTGTTAAAACATTTTAGCATTTGAACATAACTCCTGATAAAGATAATGGAGGGAGAAGAGATTGTGGTGATGCCTTAGAACAGGCCAAATATTCCTTATCTGGAAATCCAAAATCTGAAATACTCCAAAATCCTCCACACTGGTGGCTGAGAAGCGACACTTTTACTTTTTGATGCTTCAGTATATGCAAACTTTATTTCTTGCACAAAATTGTTAAAAATATTGAGTATAATATTATCCCATCTCCATAATTTATATGCATATATTCCAAATTCTGAAAAAAATCCGAAATCCAAATCACTCCTGGGATCAGGCACTTCAGATAAGGAATACTCAGTATGCAGTGAAAATAAATTTATGAAACACTGCATGATATTTAATATGGGAGAAGGAAGGGGAGGGAGGGAGGGAGGGAGGGAGGTTACGTAGCTGTATGGAGGAGCAGGCCAACAGAGGCACCTCTGGGTATTAAACACTGAAGCAAACTCAATAATATGAGGCAGATGCTTATTTATGACAGCCAGTGATTTATAATGAGGGAGTTTGTTCCTTTTTGAAAACGAGGAACACCCATTGCTTCTCAAAAGTGACTAAGGACACATGTTTGGCAATTGATCTTAGGATACAGAATACAAAATTGCGTCTTCACTGTCACTTGTCTTCACGATCTAGTTTTCCCCCTACAATGTAAATACATATCATGCCAACAATATTTGAAAAGCTAATAGAATAGACACTAGAAATTTTGCTGCTTGTGACTGAGCAGCAGATGGCATCATTCCCCCCCCCACACACACACACACATCAAAACTAGCTGTTAATTGGACATATTAAGACATTCCCCTCACCAAGTGCAATAAAAATGTAATTTTAACACATGAAATGATTTACAATATCCTGCCCTGGCAAGAGGAAGTGATATTGGGTTTCTAGGGTGCTTGTGGGAATAGTTGTATTTTCACGTTTTGGGGTCTTTCTGAGTAGTTTGGGAAGGAAATTGTCCCCAATTTTTAAATAATTATTTGGAGCTTTGAGAGTGATTTGTGAGTTATTTTGTCAAGGGAAACAGAATATCACTAAAGATAAAGGTAAAAGTTTCCCCTGACATTAAGTCTAGTTGTGTCTGAATCTGAGTGGTGGTACTCATCTCCATTTCTAAGCTGAAGAGCGTTGTCCATAGACATCTCCAAGGTCATGTGGCCAGCATGACTGCATGGAGTGCCGTTACCTTCCCGCCAAGGCGGTACCTATTGATCTACTCATATTTGCATGTTTTTGAACTGCTAGGTTGGCAGAAGCTGGGCCTAATAGTGGGAGTTCATCCTGCTCCCCAGATTCAAACCACCAACTAAGTTCAGTGGTTTAACCTGCTGCACTACTAGAGGCCCAGAATATCACTAAATACCTACAAACAGCCTTTTATAATATCATGACCAAAAATGAGGATAAATAAATGAAAAGCTGAAAAATAGTTAATTTGAGTGGGGGCAGATTAGAGCATATAATATAAATAAATCATGGCATGCATTGTGAGACAGGAAAAAATCTATGCCACACATTGGTAGGAAATGGCCAGGCTGTGTTTACGAAGAATCTCCAGTCTCATAAAACCTTTTACATCACTTCTGTACATCTGAAGTAGTAGCTGTTTCTTGGATTTCAGGACTTCTAAAATGATATATTCAGGTTTCTTCTCATTCCTCCCCCATCTACTCCTTTTCTTTTCATCAATGCTTTTCAGTGTGTATGGTTGTAATTCATATGAGTTGTTGCAGTATAAGGACTCTCCTTCTGGCTAAAATGGAGGATAGAGTGGCCTAAAAATAGAGTGAAAGAGAAAACCAGTAAGAACAAGCAATAAATACTGAACAAGAAGCTGGACACATATTCTGTGAGGACCTGTTCATCATCAGATATAATCCTTAGGAATGCATGGTGTAGTGATTTGGGCACTGGACTGTAACTCTGGAGATCAGAGTTGGAATCTCCACTTAGCCATGGAAACACACTGGGTGATCTTGGGAAAGTCATACTCACACTCTCAGCTTTAGAGGAACGCAATGGCAAGCCTTTCCTGAACAGATCTTGACAAGAAAAGTGTGTAATAGAGTTGCCACCGGGCAGAGACAACTTCAAGACACTCAACAACAAGATATGTGTGATGAACAACATACGTACACACATCCATGAAGGCCAAACTAGAATAGACTATTTTTTTTACTGTTGCCCAGTCGCTTTCTGCTTTTCAGTTAGCCAGCTTGAAGGCTCTAAGAGTCAAACTAAAGAGCATTTTTATTCTTTCTCTCTCTCTCTCTCTCTGCATCTCTATCTCATTTATTCATGTAATCAGGGGACGGCATAAGAGCAGGTAGTTTATTAACATGATGGGAATTACAAAAATAGGGTGAGGTCAAAAGGACTACTCTATATTTACAAAATACAACAACTAATGCCCTGCAAAACTCACTGAGGGATGTTGAAAAGGGTTTATTCTTCTCACTCTCACTCTCTCTCTCTCACACACACACACATATACTTGCCCTGGGAAAGCTTGTGTGAGTACATACACATTTTCGGGTATTTTTTACTACAAGGAATGAGCAGAAATGTTGATTGAATTATTTGGGCAAAATACATGGCTAAACAATGCCAACTATGAACCATGATGACTTGAGTGGAAAGAGGGGCATTCTCTGTTCTATCCCAGACAGATAATTTTATTTTTGGGCTGGGCTCATTGGGAGCCTAGATCTGTGGTCTGAGAGAATAAATCTATCATAGCACAAGCCAAGTTGTGACTACTGAGGTCAAAAACTGCTGCCCAAGCCAACCGACTCCCTGTTCCTGTTTTGCCTGTCCCTCTTCCAACTCACTAGAAGCAGCAACAATTGCAAAGAACATCCCCCAAGACAGTCAGTTAGACCCTGGTCCATTTAGAGTGCCCCAGAGCAGCATCACCCTTATACCTACCTCTCCTTTTTTTGCTGAGAACAAAGTGGGGAAAACACCAATGTGAGGTAAATGTAATGCAGTGGTTATGAACAAGTCAGGTTCTGTAGGTTTGTTCTGAAGTTGAATTTGCATATAAGTCGGAACAGGTACATTTTAAAAGTGTACCTCCAGCCATATATATCGATGTGTGTGTGTTTTAACACCCCTGTGCTGTTTGTTTTTCTGTCTGCGCCCTTGTTTAGAAGATTTCGCCTCACTTTCTGTCTCTGTGATAGTTGGATTTTGAAAAAAAAAAGGCTTGTTGTGGAAACAAGGATTGGTGAGAAAGCTTCTGTGGAGACACCTTTTCCCCATGATAACTCTTTCAGGACTGAATTTCCCTTCCAAGTGACAGATTTCTCTCATTCCTGTTGTTTCGCCCTCGTTCTTAACTATGTGTCAATTGTAACTCAGATATTTGTAACTCAGGGACTGCCTGCATGTGGTGCACATTTTTCTAGGTTGGAAAGGGGGGTGGGGGGAGCGGAGTCTGTTTTCCACAGACACATCTCTTTTAAATATTAAATTCACATTTTGAAAAACCCATGAACAAACACACCTGGCAACCCCAGTGAAGGTTCAAAGCTGAAATTAAAATGGGGTACAAGTCACATGTTAAAATGGAGAGAGAAAAAACTCTCCCTTAACCCTGAGTCACAGGGGAAATAACTGAAATGAAAGCCTTCCATTTTCAACCCATGTGTAACCCATGAAAATAATAAGAAGAGATGATCTGTTCAGGAGCCAGAAGATGTTATGTGTGAATAGAGGACTAGAAACGCAGCTGAAATGTAGGTTGGCCCATGTGAGTTCTAATACCGAAAAGTTTAAAAGTTACTGTACAGAAGTTGATTGTAAATGATATGATTATAACTGTATTTGTGTTTGCACTGGTTGCCCTAATGCTGGAGCGGCCTAGCTGTGAGGAGTGTGTTACCATGGAAACGATGCTGTAGAGAAGTGGGAGGAGCTTAGAGAGGAGAGTTTTGAAAAGCGACAGTTAAAGTCAGTTAGGGTTTAGGCTCAGAGGAATGAAGAGTTGGGGGTTTAGGCTCTGAGGAATGAAGAGTCAGGTTTTAGGCTCAGGGAAATGAAGTGTTGAGAGAGAGAGTGGGAAGTAGAGAAGCAGTGTTTGTGAATAGTCAGAGGTTTCTTCAGTTTAGGAAGGCTGAAGGGGAAACCTTATTAGTTTCATTAGTTAGAGAAGACTAATAGAAGCTTGTTTAGATCACTAGTTAAAAGTGAACTAGAGATCTGAGGTTTGATCACGGAAGGATCAAACAGGAAGACTATTCACCTCAGGAACCATTGTTTAATAAAGTGCTTCACCACAGCAAAAGTTATTGATAAGTTGTAACATCAGAAGTCTGTACTGTATCGCAACCAAGTTATATGTAACGTTCTCCAAGTATCTTCCAAGTTTATCACCAAACTGCAACCATACGCTTTGTTTCAAAATAAACTTGTTCTCTTTGATTTTAAGACTGCCTCATCTCCATTAATTCTGCGTTCAGTGTGCCAATCTCCCAAAATTACCTCACATCACAAATTGGTGGCACCATTAAGAATAATAAATAATAAATCGTAACTTCTCTCTCCTGAAACCCTTTTCTTTGAAGTGGGGCAACCCCTTTGCAGTTACATACCAGCAGATATACAAGTAGGTTTTCTACTTTGCCAAATGAAGTGTTGTCTTCTAATAAAATAATTCTCAAATAATTTATATGGTTCCCAAAAGAACACAGAAGACAACATTTGATTTCTTATTCCATGAAATTATCTAAACTGGCATCATATCAGATTGATAAGAAGTAGGATTATGCGTTTTAATGGTTTTTAAAATTAGCTTTATGATGAAGGAATAAGAACATTAGCTGAGCTATAGTATCACAAGGAATATTAAACTAAACTGATCAAATCATGTTACAATTAGATGCAAAATGTAGAAAGAACAACGTTCTAATCCAACCTATCTTTATGTATTAATTGAAAATTTCATGTTTGTATTCCCCATTTCTTCAGACATTTGAGATGTTCTCATAAGCAGAAAATCACATTTGGTGGTGTCATAAAGAGATGTGAAGAAGCAATTAAGTAATCTTCCATGCCAGTGGTCTGAGAGAGACAGTTCACTTCAAGATCAGAAGCAATAATAGACGGGTAACTGATTGCTAGGCTAGATAAGCTTTTGAGTTGATCCAGTATGAATCTTCTTATGTTTTTGTAGAATCCAGAAATTAGCTTAAGCTATGTCTGCCTCACAGAACATCTGGTCTGTGGCATCCTGATTAACCCATTCCATTAGCACTAAACCCACCATTAGAAACATTCTTTCCAGATAACTTTTAGGAAGACATGTATGTATTATCATGCCAACAAAAAGCTATTAAGCCAATCTAATGTTTAAGGTGGCATTCTTTTGATCACATCTAGCTTAATCAGCAACCAGTGACAGTATTTGCACTCCGGAAGCTATTATGTTATTATGTGAAAAGAACTAGCTCAGATAAATTCTCATTGACATTCTGTGCCTGAAGCGTAAGTAAATTAATTTTAAAAAAACCAAAAAACGGTGACAGACAAAACTATAACCAGGGACCCATGTAAATTAATAATAATAATAATTTATTTATTTGACTACTCATATAACAATTTCAAAATACAACACAAATAAAATGCAAGGCAAAAAGAAGAGGACAGCAGCTGACCTTCTATTTACAGTCAGAGTCTTATTTTTCTGGTTCTTCTTTCAGGAAATGTACTCTTTTCTTGATAGCTTTCAGAATAAAAAGGTTTACTCTGATTATGGTGGTTCTTTCTTGTCCTTGCAAGAGAAATTTCAGAAGATCATTTCTGTTGGGGGACTTGCAGTTGGATAATATTGGATGTCGATATCTGTATCCCAGTTCAGCATATGCTGGACAGTCAATCAAGAAATGTTTGATATCTTCCACTGTTTGTTCTCTCCATACGCAGAATCTCTCACTTCATGGGATGCATCATAATACCGAGTTGTTCAAACCTAGCCCTAGTATATATTCTTCTTAAGGGTAATAGTCAGATAGTGTTCTAAATGAATATTTCTTTTGTGAGAAGCTAAAAACCTTGTGGCAGAAGACCTACCTATGCTTGCCAGGTCCAGTTTAGCATAGATATCATGAGTGCGTTGCATGAGCACTTGTTTTGCCTTAGGGCCTAAATCATTCAAAATTGTAAAGGCAGGCCGATTTTAGCCAACTCATTACTTAGAGCCTCTGTCCATGTAAATAAATTGCTTGTTCAGTTATGAACCACCTGATAGAAGCTTTCATGGGGCTTTGAAAAGTCACTTTTTAGGATAACCAGAATCCCTCAGCCAATCTGTGCAGTAGCCATGCTGTCTGGGGCATTCTGAGAGGCGTAGTCTTACGAATAACTAATCTGATCTGTGCAAGTCTTCCAGATCTCCAGAAGTGATTTGCCCCAGCCTTTTTCTCCATGACCCTGTTTACTGGGGATGCCAAGGTCTTGAACCTGGAATCATCTAGATACAAAGTTTGTGAGCTGAGCTGATTCTGATCTACTCAAAGAGTTTTTAAGACAAAACTAGCTGGATAAACTGAAACAGAGTTGTTTGAACATCTCTCACAAAACAATGGCAGGGAATAAAAAGGCTTCACAAAATGAACATTTACACTTCAATCCTTTGTTTGACTATAAAACTTTGTTTACTTAAATGACTGAACACATTTTTTTCCTACTTGAATCTTCCTCTTCATGTGCGCACAGCTGCCAGTGCACCAAAATGTAGAATCCAAGCTGGGTTGAAACACACATTAATAATATT